ATTCAAATAGTTTATAAACAATTACTTAAAATGGGCAAGAATTGCCCAACACACTTCTTAGGTTGAAAAGGTGATGCCGTGCCATCAACGAAGGCCGAAGCTTGGGGCTCGCAGTGTAAGATTGCATTTACGGGGACATTGACGATAAAAGCATGCCGGGTAAACTCTCAACTATCCATCGTGATTTTACCTCGTACGGCAAATTGAGTGAAAAGAAGAAGTTCTACTGTTTTTTTGCAAATTTTAACGAGAATCTCCTCGTTGTAACAAATAGAGCCTGCAGGTGCATGCTTATTCGTGTGGTAAGGACATATTTCGATTGTAAATCAAGCAGTCCTTTTAAAAGTCATGGCAAACTTCTTCACAAAAGTTGTAATGCGATATGACTAGCTCAAGACACCTAGACGGCCTTAGGAGGTGTCTCAAAGGTAGAAGGATGTGAAAAGTGGTAAGCTTCAATTTTTAGCTTGTGTGTAGGTATGGCAGCCATTTAGGGTGCAAGGGTCTGTCAGCAGAGCTGGTCTACGCATGCATCCAAAGTCAAATTCGAACCTGCGTGTGTCGTCAGCATGGGTTTACGTGCTTTGGCTTGGTGCCTAAGAGCTTCGCCATCATTGGGCTGCAGTGAGGGAATACCGATCACCTTTATGGCTTGACATAATTGTAGATACTAACAAAATGGGACCACAAATCCGCTGAACAATTGCGCCTACCTCCATGTCTGCAGCAGGTTGCATTTTGTAGCCTTTTTTGCTATTGCAACGTATCCAAGTTCTGTAAGTCCATTCATCTTATTGAAAAATTTAATTATGTTTAAGTTTTCTTTTTAATCCTGCATTTTCCATATTTTTTACAAAAGTCAACGATGACCTTTATCGCCTTTCCGACTGTCAAACCGTCTTGAGTGTGTCCCATCGGTTCTAGTAATCGTGGCTTGATTTGACAAGGATGCTACGTCAACAATCTACCTCACAGTTACTTCACAGTTCTAAATTAGAATGCTTTAGTGGTGACATTTGGAACTACGTGTTCCAAACCCATTGTCCCTGCCTCGACATTCGTCCAGATCCCCACCTATATTTGAGTAGACCTTTTTAAGTTCAGTCATACCGTTTGTGCGTTGTCAAACTTTAGTCAGAAATGTTTGTTTATGTACTTGGCATAAGTGACACCCGCAGACTCTGTAAGTTAAACCCCTAGCACCGTTTGCTTTGGCGTCTCTAGGCCCACGCTAGCCCACATGCCTGAGAAAGCTAGAGAGACAGACAGATTCATTAATGTAGCTATGTTTTGGCGTATATCAGAGGCAACAAATGACACTTGATACTTTAAATCATGCGCAAATTGTCCATCGGCAACTTTTTTAGCAGTACCAAATAGTTGACTATCCCGCTTGCAACGGAAGTATAAATTGGAGAAGGGCACATTGAGGGGAAGAGGAGGACTGTGGGTGGTGGGTAATGCAGTCCTTACACCGCTTCATTGTGTAATCCTATCACACTCTTTATGCAATTTTGGATTTGATGATGACTTTTGACCCTAAGCCACACCTAGACGCCATTTAATGGGTTTATCTTTTGATGCTCCATTTGCATTGGTTAAAGTCAATCACTTTGCCTCTCAATCAACGCAAAACTGTCTACTCTAATCCACTCTCACAGGTGTTTATCCGCTTAACACAATTTTAAAATAGAAAATGATTGAATCATGCATTTCTCATTGCATAGTATGAATTTCCTAATGTTTCGATGAGAGATTTGCGGTTCACGACACCCCATGCAAAGTCTCAGTTTTATTTTTTAGTAGAGTAAGGCTATAAGTAAGCGTGCATGTTTGGTCCTCCTAGATCGTTAGCTTCGAAGTGATGACGATTGAGGTTTAACGAATCCTTCCTTATGGAACCCACTAGATCTCATGTCGACCTAGCAACCATGTCCAATAACTATAGCAGACAAGTTGTACTACATCTATTGCATTTCGATTAGACACTTCATAAAGCTGAAGGCAACCAAATCTATTGAGTCCAATAGAC